TATATATTGATATGTTTCACACTCTAATGTTCGCTGGTATGTCAGATGCTTAATGCTTATTGTATGCGGACAAGTTATCACGCCAGATACCTTTCACCTTTTTCTTTTTCTTGCAGCGTGAACGTCTTCTCATCGTGACAAAGATTCACCTTCTATACCTCTGCATCGCGGAACTAGTGGAGTTGGATATTCTAATATGTTGTTGAACTGTTGACGTAATATGATTATGTCTCCTATTGCTATTTATTGTTTCGCTTCAAAGAAAGAGGAAGTGATGTCATAGACAGGGCCTTTTATGGGCATTATATCTTTTTTCTGATTGGTTGTTTATGTTACTATGCTGCTGGAGTTTTGAGTAAAGAAAGATATGCAAATATTCGCCTCCTGTCATTACTAAAATTAAGATTATTAGTACACTAAAGCTAGTATAATCTTCAATTTCATTCTAGGTGTATTTCGATATCAATATATATATTAATATCGAAATACAGTTAGAATAAAATGTATATATATATATTGTGATGGACCCGCTGGCACCCCGACCAAGTACCTCCGCCAATCGATTCTCCTAGTGCTTGCTGAGGACTCCAAGCACTCCAGCCAACACCATCAGCACTGCAGACTTATTCCATCCCCCAAGCATGAGCCAAGGCTTCAAGAAAGGGTCAAGCAGGTCTGTTTAACCCCTTAAGGACACATGACGGAAATATTCAGTCGTGATTCCCTTTTATTCCAGAAGTTGTGTCCTTAAGGGGTTTAATGAGCACACAAAAGCAACAGCACTCATGCAGCAAAACAACTCGTCCTCAGAGGAAAACAAAATGACAGTTAAGTTAAGTCAGTGTTTGAATATATGACAGTTATAAGGTCAGACAGAGTTTGAATATTTGACAGTTATAAGGGTTTAACTGGTGTTATGGAGGGGGGAGAGGAGGAATAAAACAGGGATTTTCTTCACAATTTAAAGCTGCACACTGCTCCAATATAATTTAAAGGGGCAGACAGAGTACAATAAAATCCAATATGCCCAAATAACATTTTTAAAGGGCAAAATCTTCCAGGGGCCATAGTCGCAGGGCAGGAGGCTGGCAATTAGTCCTCTCCAGGCACAAGTGGTGAAGGGCACTTCGTCACATATATAATTTTCTAAATTTTTAAAATGTATTTAAAATTTTTTTAAAATTAATTAATATTTATTTTTTATAATAATAATATATATATATAATATATATACATATACGTTTGTAATTTTACTCTAAGTGTATTTTTATATTAATATATGTATATATTAAAGGGACACTATAGTCACCAAAACAATTACAGCTTTTTGAATTTGTTCTGGTGAGCAGAATTATTACCTTCAGGCTTTTTGCTGTAAATACTGTCTTTTTAGAGAAAATGCAGTGTTTACATTACAGCCTAGTGATAACTTCACTCACTCTTCAGATCCTTCCTGGGTCATGGCTGCCTAAACTGCACCCAAACATTCAGTATCTCCTCCCTCTGCATGCAGACACTGAACTTTCCTCATAGAGATTCATTGATTCAATTCATCTCTATAAGGAGATGCTGATTGGCCAGGGCTGTGTTTGAATCATGCTGGCTCTGCCCCTGATCTGCCTCTTTGTCAGTCTCAGCCAATCCTACGGGGAAGCACTGTGATTGGCTCAGGCCACCACTTCTGATGATGTCAGCAGACTGCTTGTTTTTCCCAAGTCAAACAGCATTCAGATCTACAGCTTAAGGCTTGAATACAGTAAGATTTTACTATATTTATGAAGGCATGAGGGGCCTAGAGGGGCTAGATGCTGGTTTTAACACTATAGAGTCATGAATACATGTTTGTGTTCCTGACCCTATAGTGATCCTTTAATAAAAAAAATACACTTAGTATGACATTATAGATATATATATTCATATTATATATATATATATATATATATATATATATATTTTACATTTATTAACATTATTTTTTTATTTTAAAACTTTTAAAAACTTTTTTCACCAGCAGGGCGACTGCCTGTCAGTTCAGGCAGTCCCACTGCAGGCAGCACTATGGACGCCTATTGCGGCTATGTGACCACTCTTTCAGAGCGATCACATGGCCCGCGGGGTCCTAATTTGCAGAGGGGGGACTGACAGGGCTGTCAGACAGTCCCCCCAAACGGAGAGGAACTCTGATCACCAGCGAAGGAACGGCGGCAATCGGGCAAGTGTATAGGAATACTGTGGACGTACACGGTCCTGGGGGGAGGTTAATATGTAGATTTTATTTTTTTCATGATTTTTTTACATTTTTTATTTTTTTATTATTTTATTTTCACTGAGTGTCTAGACCCCTCGAGGCACTCAGCACACAGGCAGAGCTTCACGCCCTCACATTTGCCGTGGAAGTACCAGGTACGTCTGAGGTCGTTAACGACCGTTTTATGTCGGACGTACCTGGTACATCCGCGATCACAAAGGGGTTAAATACCGTAAAAAGGCTCAATATAAATTCTGACCATATAACACATTTTTTTTTTTTTTTTATCACATCTTGAAACACTTTATAACATAACAGTGTGGGTGATGTGGAAAATGGTAATATAATCTTTCTTTTACCTAATTTTGATTCCTATATAATATCTATTTTTCAATATAAATTCAGCATATTTGTACCCAACCTTTCATTTCTACTAAGATTTTCCAAAATAGTTCCTAAGCAAATAAACAAGTCACTTTAAAATATTATTGCTATAAATGTCCTTGAAAGTAGCAAAGAGTACATGATAGAACAGAAATATTAGAAGAGGCTTCTGAATTACTACAGCAATAAACCAGCAGTAATTACTATCATTTAACACGCTCATTGAATCCTGTGTGCTCCTGAATATATTAAAATATTTATGATTAAACAATTATCATTCTTTAAAAGTAGAGATTTAATCTCATTAAGATTTTTTTTTGTTTCAATAAACCATTCTTTAGCACTGGCCTGTGGTTAAAACATGATTATACAAGAAAAATAAACATTGTAAAATATATTTCCAGATAATGAACACCTGACAGAACAACTAAAATGTATTTAATTTTTGTAGGCTCTTTTTTTCTGATATTAAAGGGAAACTATAGGCACCCAGACCATGTCAGGTCATTGACGTGGTCTGAGTGCAGTGTCTAACTTAGTCATGCAATGTAAATCATTGCAGGTTTAGAGAAACACAAGAGGCACATCCTGCTTGCTAGGAGACTTTTGGTCACCTAACTGATACTGGACGTCCTCACGCTCTGCATTATAGCGCATCTGCCACTGGCAACTTTATCAGGGTATCTTTTTCAAAAGCCATGCTGTAAAGTTGAGGCTTTGTGGGGATAGATGCACTGTAGGTCCCTGGGTAAGAAGATTCCAGGATAAGGGCAACATGTAAAGGCATTCTAGGTTCAATCTCATTAAAAGAGGAAACCAAGATCTCCCCGCACAGTAAGGAATAATCACAATTATTTTGACCTTATCCTTCCTCGGAACTCTATAGATCAAGGGAAGACGGGGGAAAATGTTTCCTTCGTCGAACTCCCTTTTTTGAGTTAATGCATCTTGGGCTTTTGCTCAGAGATCAGCCCACAGACAGAAGAATCTGGCTACTTGCGCATTTTTGAATAATGCCATTAGATCCATATGTGGCATGACCTATTTATTTGTAATTGTTCGAAAAAATGTTTCTGGAGGACTTCGTGAATTCCAAAGCAAGAGAAGTGAAATTTATTTAGATACAAACTGCTAGAAAGTATTTAAGTTGTTTTGCTAAGTTGTTTCCGCTGTTTACAAAGTTGTTAAAGGAACAAACTCGTTCTCCTGGCACTATAGGGTCTTTATGCCCCCCCCCCCCACCCTCAGGTTCCCATTCCGCTGGGCTGAAGGGGTTAAACACTTACCTTTCCAGCGCCGGGCTCCCTCTGCCGATGTCAGCCCCGAATGCGCATGCGCGGCAAGAGCCGCGTGCATTCAAACAGTCGATAGGAAGGCATTTCTCAATGCTTTCCTATGCACGTCCAACGTCTTCTCACTGTGAGAATCGCGGAAGCACCTCTAGCGGCTGTCAGTGAGACAGCCACTAGAGGCTGGATTAACCCTCAGTGAAACATAGCAGTTTCTCTGAAACCGCTATATTTTCAGCTGCAGGGTTAACACTAGAGGGACCTGGCACCCAGACCACTTAATTGAGCTGAAGTGGTCTGGGTGCCTATAGTGGTCCTTTAAGCACTGAAATTCTATACTGCATTTATACATTTTCTCTAATGACTAAACCCAGGGCCAGATTAAGAGCCCAGTGGGCCTGGTGCTGACAATTATGACGGGCCTAATTGCAGAATCATATCGACCAAAAACAGTAAAACACTCCCAAGTGCCATGTATCTGATGGAGATGGTGCTGGAGAGAAAGAAAACAGCAGCTATAAGAAAACACATACCCTGGGCTAATCTCTCACTAATTTATGTTTTCATCTTTCAAGTAAATCCATAACCCCTAACAGCAGTGTCCAGTCAAGCAAGATGTCAATGGGCACGGTAAAAGGGTGTTCCACTGACACAAATCACGTAACCTGCCAAAAGGGGCGAACATGCCCAAAAAGAGGATATGTCTGCCCAAAGAATTAGAAGGCCAGCCTGGTATGAATGCATGTCAGGCTGCCTGCCAATCATGCAGCTGGCCAACTAAGGGCATACTATGCAGACAGCACCATGAGCTTGGCATAAATGCATCTAATGATGCGCTCGCTCAACGCTTTCTAAGGACTGTCCCCTAGCACTCGCTGGTCCACTTGTCTCCTTACCTTCTTACTAGCAGGCAGAAGCTCCTGGTATATAGTATGGGACAGGGAAAAGCTGTATGTAGTGAGTGTAGAAGAAAGGGAACATGCCACAGTGTTAGAGAGACCAAAGTCAGCATTGCCTTAAAGGATCACTATAGGGTACACTTGAAGACATGGGGACACAGACACCAGGGACACAGACACTAGAGACACTGGCTGGGGGACATGGGGACATTGAGACATGGGGGCACTGGGAGACATGGGGACAAGGAGACACCAGGGCCACAGACACTAGGGACACTAGCTTGGAGACATGGGGACATTGAGACACTTGAGGCACTGGGAGACATGGAGGCACTAGGAGACATGGGGACAGTGAGATACTGGCAGACTGGGGGCACTGGGAGACTAGGGGGCACTGAAACACCAGGGACACTGACTGGGAAACATGGGGACACTGGGAGACACGGGGACACTGTGTCCCCATGTGTCTGTGTCATAATGTCTCCCAATGTCCCTTAGTGTCTCAGTGTCCCCATGTCTCCTTGCAGCCTTTCCCCCCATCCCTTACTTCCCTGAGCTGTAGGCTGTCTCTGCAGGGTGGGAGTTGCTGTCTGGACTCTCTGTAGCTGCACCCCTGCAGATCAGTGAGTATAGATAGGCAGGGAGGGATATGCTGGAACTTCCAATAAAATAAAAGCCAGGTGGAATCCCTAAGAGTAGTGTGTGGAATTTTTTTTAAATTTTTAAAAATTTTTTTTTATAAATCAATGGGCCTATTCCATGGGCCTGGAGCTGCAGCTCCATCAGCCCCTATGTTAATCTGTCCCTGACTAAACCATTTCTATTGTTACACTTATATTATGCAAATATGCCAGTATAATAAAATATATATGGTGTGTGTTTACCGGTTTTTTATTTTTTACAAACTGTATTTTGTATTGCTCTTTTACATTGTTTATGTATTAAACAAACAATTTAATTTAGCACTTTATTTTACATTATGGCCTTTTGTGCAATTTGTCTGTCTCTTGAAGCAAAAGCTACAAGGTTAGCCACTGAAGTGAGAACTCAAAGTGAATTCCAAATTTGAGGCCGAAGTAGCTTAACTGGAAGCATAACTGACTTAGAGAATGTTTACAAATCAGCCATTTTGTTTGCACTAAAGAACTAAACAAGGTTAGAAACCATGAAGTTACCAAAGTCACGTAGTAAACAGGATAGGCATAAGGCTATCCTAACTATAAGATAAGGTATTTAGAAAATTGGGCAGACTAGAAGGGCCAAATGGTTCTTATCGGCCGTCACATTCCATGTTTCTATGTTATTAATCCAGACAGGCTTATTTCTTTAGCAATGTCTAGTTATTCTCTGCTATTCTAAATAGCTGGCTTAATTGCATCATATAACTCTTTCAATTAATGTAAATGATGAAAAAGGGGTGGGACATATGTGATGATATGACATAGTGATGTCACATCATGGGCAGAGCATATGGGGGGGGTGGGATTTAAGGAGGCAAGCAGCCTTGTACTGGCCCTGGTAATGCGGTATTTGTTGGCAGTTTATAAACAATAAGAATGAATATATTATAATTGTATCTTCACTTTAATCAGTGTTATGTGAATCTGGAATTATTATTTTTTTGGGCGGGTGGTAAAATTAATATCAACTCCCATCCACTGTCTCTTTCTTTGTTACCCATTTGCCCACTCCATGCATTCCCTCTTCCCTGTCTTCGTAATCCAATCACTATCTCCGTGCTTCCGGCCCGCGTTCACCAGCTAGTTACTTTCTGTCCTCTTTACATGCCTGGTAAATTATGAGACATCTGATACAAGTATATATAGAAACATGTATTTTCCTGAACCCAGGAGTTAGCTGAAGTGTGAGATATGCAGATTTTGACATTGCCTGTGTTGTTTTGTCACCTCTTTGGTACGTCTCCAGCATAAAAACAAGTGATATTATACTGTCATCACAGCTAAAGGTTAGTCATCGTCAATGCTGCCATCTGTACCTTTTATAGCTGCACCTGTTTGCAGACAATGCTTTGCATATTCAGCTGCTTATATTTACTGTCAGAAAAAAATAACGAAAGGAGCGTAGCTTGATATGAAGACGTTTCCCTATAACTTTTTTGATTTTTTTTTACATAACATTATGCATCCTGGATCTTCCCAAGATTACATTTATAACTATTATAACTATTAGGCACAATGTAAAGACTCTTGTTTTTAGATATTGTAGTATTTGTGACGCTTTACAATTCTCCCACAATATTGTAATGTCATAATGCGAAGTGCATTTTAATGATGGATCGTACTTCGGCAGTATTAAATACAGATTCTTCTGTATAACCTTTTTAGGTTAGGTTTAATCCATGTGGTCCGGATTTTAGCTGTCTAGTGACGTTTAGTCCGGCTGAACTGACACAATCCGGACATTATTGAATATCATCAACAGTCCAAATGTGAATAACCCTGTTTATATTCCCTACTAACACTAGCAGCAAAATGCCAATGCCAATTTGAACTGTATTTACTTGGAAGTCTACAAATCTCACACGGGTCAAGTCAGTAAAAAATGTAATCACTAACCATTGACAAATACAAGATCTCATCAGCTAGTTAACTCTTAAGACATCTAATCACCTGCAGAATAGAGGCAGTAGGTGTGTAATTGAGAAACGTGCTGTTGTGATTTTAACAGCACATTTAATACTCCCGTCATAGTAATTTAGCACCTATAGTAAAGGGATGTTGAAGACTGAAGAGGTCACCGCTCCTGTTCCTTTTTCTTAATGCCTTGTAGAAATTAGATTTTAAAAATGCATGTAAAAAAAAACAAAAAACAAAAAAAAAACACAATTAAAAGAATGTGATATCCACTGAATGTCTGTCTATAACAGCAGATCCCCGTGATATGCTGCTCCATCTACAGTGACTCTGTATAGACCAAGAAATAATTAGGATGTCTCAGGCCACCAATGACCCGAGTGATTTCAATTGTTAAGTTGTATATATCTCAAAATTCCTTAATCATCCTCACTACCTAATTCCTGGTATCTAGTGAGGTGTCTAGATGAAAGTTTCTTGATTGGATCATGGGAATTTAAAAACCAATAAAAAAAACCAAAAAAACCTGTAAAATGCTGGGTGGTGGCGAAAGTGCCCACAGATGAGGCTTCCTCCCAGGACTCATCTACAAGGGGAGTAGCTGAGAATGTCTGTGCACAATTTTGCATAGAATTCACATTAGGCAGCACAGAAAAGAGTTCACATGTGCATGGGTACAACTAGCCCCCAGCATAAAAGTGGAAATATCTTTGTATGGTCAGTGATTCAAGTAGAAAAGCTGCACGTACAGATTCCTACTACCATGACCACTTCTAAAACCAGAAGTGGTCATGATGGTTGGAGTAACCTATACAAGCACACTTAAAATTAAGTTGTTATGGTGGTCAGAGGTACTTGACACTTTCTTACCTGCCATTCTTGAACAGTTTAACCCCACAGCTTGCTCTCCAGTGCTGGCTTTCCCTTTCCCCAGAGGCAGCTGGCTTCTTAAATTGAGCTTGAGGAAGCACAGAGCATGGCAGGGCAGGTGTGCTGCTTATTGGCTAAGGCAGTCAGCTGAAGCTCTAAGCCAATCAATAGCTCCACCATTCTTAACAAAGATACTTACACACACAAGATCACACAGCTCACTGACACACACACAAGCTTGAAACACACAGCTCAGTACAGAAAGCTCATTACACACAGCTCACTACAGAAAGCATACAGAAAGACAAATTCCAGCTCACTGCAGAACGTTCACCACACACAAGTTCACTGACATACACACACAAATTAACTAAACACAGCTCCCTACACATAACTCACTACACAAACAAAAGCTTACTATGAACAGCTCACTAGAAAGCTCACGAGACACAGCTTACTACACACAAGCTCACTGACACACACAAACTCACTAAAAAAAAGCTCACTTAAAGTAGGTCACCATAGAAAGCTCACTATATACAAGCTCACTGACACACACAAGATCATAAAGCTAAGCAAATACACTCACTCACTACCCTTCTCATGGGAGAGGAGGGGTCACACAGCTTACTACAGAAAGATCAGCTTACTACACACAAGCTCACTGACACACATATAAACCCACTAGAAAAAGCTCACTTCTCACAGATCACCACTTTAAGCTCACTATATACAAGCTCACTACATACAATCACTACCCTTCTTAGGGAGGGGGGGGGGGGACATCACTGTGTCCACCCATATTATTAAATGAACAGCCCCCCATCAACTGCTCATGAATGGGGGCTGAGGGTACACTAGGTCCCTTCTTGTTTGTAAGTAGCCCCAAACCCCCTGACCATTAGGATGTCCACCCATTAAAAAAAAAAAAATTAAATAGACAATAGTAATAGCAAGTGATCTGTCCATATTTCTTTTAAAGCCCCTACCTAAAGCCCACAGGTCTGTGCACGAGGGGGACCAGGCTTATTTACTAAACAGTAAACTGCTACATGCTAGCTCACTGTTTAGTAGATATGCTATGTTGATGATGGGGGCATAAGAGGTTTTATATCTCCCTTATTCTAATTTGGGGGTCATATTGACCTTCATATGCTTATTTTTACTATTTATTGTCATGGGAGCTAGATAGTACTGGCCAGCTGACACATGATTAACCCCCGCAGTACCAGTGTCAGTGGCTGAGATATGTGCATAAGTTTAATAAGGGAGTCTTTTTCTGGAGTGAGGGTGGTTGGCTAAGAAAGCAGGCTTATAGTGCAGAATTTCGCAAAACTTTTTTTTGTGTGCAAAAACTATAGAGGTTTGATCTATAAAGCATTTCTGAGCAAGACGACACATAGAATTCAACGTTGAATTGTGATACAGAGGTTAGAGCAACATGAGTGCAGAAAAGACACAAGTTTGATAGAGAATAGACACCATTCTTGGAGAGGGTCGTAAATATCTTGTGTGAAGATCACAGAGTGAGGGGGGAGAGAGAGATAAAAATCAAGCAAATAGTGCAGAAGATGGTGCTAGAAGGGGGGAGTAAAAACAAAATCATTACTTATATTAAGAATGCATGAATTCCCATCCAAGAGTTACAGGATATGCATTAAGGCCTATATTTAGTATACACAGACACATGCACACACTCACACTCACACACATGTACATATACATATGTAGTACATATGTACAAATATACACAAGTACATACACACTATACACAAGTACATACAACAATATACATATAAATACAACCAAATGCCCAAATAAATGTACATGCACACTTACACATACATCCACACACAAGCGCCAATACATGTACCTACACATATATCAATGTGCCTACACATACATAGACCCATATATGTATATGTA